GGCGGGGCGGGAACTCGCCTATTACCGTAGTAACGCGAGCGTTACGTTACCGCCACGTACCGCTGGGGAGGTAGGGGTCAACATGTCACAATATATATGAACTTAACTTTCAGAGAAGGATATTGGATAAAATTTTGAATGAAGTTGATAGCACTGATATCTCACGATAATTACTACAGTCAATTTTATCCTCCATCTTGTGTATTGTTACAATAACAGACTCAATCCTCTGATCTGGTCATTCTTCCTTATTCCAAATAGAAAGCTTCAAATAAAATATACTATATTTTCATTAACACTACTCTGACCTTCTAAGATTCTGTATGATGTATTTCACTTACTTTTCTCCATGAGATAAAGATAGCCCTCTCTTACATTCGACATGCTTGATGCTCCAGATCCCATGGATTTCTGCAAAAAGGAAATATTTAATTAATTCACATATTAATTAGACTAAATTAACATTTATCGAATTTATATGAAGGGTAGGAGGCACAAATACTCTGATAACATGTTTCAGTGCAGTTCATACCCTGATAATCCAGCCTGTAGCCAGAATGTATTATACTAGATCACTTTTAATATTTATTCTAGGGACAATCTATACCTATGTCACCCTCTGCTGTTATGTAGAATTATACCAATGCGCCAAAAATAACAGTACTGAAATGAAAAGATGAACAATATTACCTTGTTGTTGTCTGTGAGTTTATTTCTCCTAAAGAAACTAACATACACACTATTAGTATGTTGATTTACCATTGTATGTGTAATGTAAATTTTGTAAGTGTGCATGGCCTCACTGTAGACACTGTTCATATCGTTCATGCGGATTCTCAATCATATCCCGGAACAAAGTTTGCTGCAGGCTCCTGCAAAAGGAGACGATTTGCTCGCATAATGCAGGCAAAGTTCTTGGTGGATCTTTGCAGTTGAACACACTCTCCTTTAAAGTTCCCCAAAAGTACACATCAGGTGGTGTAAGATTGGGGGAATGGGACAGGTATGGGAAGTCAGTACCACATGAACTGATTCATCCTGGAAAGTTTTCCTGCAGCACGGCTACAGATTCTCAAGCAGTATGGCTGGTCGCCCCATCCTCTTGATACCGATGTCTATTCATTTGAAGGCCCCTTGCACGACAGAACCTTCTCAGATCCTGAAGAAATGGTCCGATCACCCTGTCCCTGTAGCATTCTTGGGTAACGGTAAGAGCATTGCCTTCTTCATCCTCAATGAAATAGGGGCCTAATATACTGTGTGCTGAGATGGCACACCATATCATCACATGTGTACTATGTGTATGTATTGGTTTCTGGATGATAAACATCTGGCCGATCAAAACCAAGGAAGCAACTTGTCTGGTGACTGATGTAGCTGTCCAAGTGAATGTGACTTTCATTGGAGAACCACATATTCCTCAAGAAATCTGGATCCGCGTACACCATGGCCAAAAATGTTCCCCAGTAAACCATCCTGGCTTGCATATCTGACTCTGTCAAGCGTTGTCCAACCTCTATCCGGTACAGAAATCCATCCATGTTCTTAAACAATCGGCGAATGGACGTATCGCTGATGTTCAGTATCAAGGCCGTTCATCGTAGACTTCATTGGGGTGAATGTAGCACCTGCTGAAGAACACGTGCATGATTCTCTATTGTTGAAACAGTTACTGGTCGACCAGACTTCCCTTCCCCTTGGTGCAGTTTTATTAAATCTCTCTTGGAATTGTTCTGCCCCTTTTTCAAACTCGGTCCCCCTTCACGACCACTTCCATATGAGCGGAAATAATACTCAACTATGAATACTTTTTCCTCCGTCGAGAGACCCATTTCCAGCAACAACTGCACAACACAACTTCCTTTTCACTACTGGGAACATGTGCGGCTGGAGCTATGCCCCATCGACAAACGCACATGCATGTTCGAGATGTGTGAGTTTCAGTACTGCACTTTTTGGCGCATACCGTATTTTAACCTCGACAGCTGGAGATGAGGATGTGCACACTCTGGTCATCCACAGCCAACAAAGTGGCAGGAGTCACTTATGTTACAATATTTACCATTTGACCCACCTCTAGTATCTTCTTCATAAGGGATTCGGTTTTGTCTCGAGTCGCATTAAAGTTTTCCCTTGTCTGCACACAGCAGCAGTAGCAGCAATGATGGCAGCAGCATGCATTTGCAAAACAGAACAGCTCAGCAAACACAACAAAAACATTACAAAACAACACACAAATCTAATAACTAATTTTTTGTTGCTTGGTCATGAACATTACATAAGACACATCTGTTCACTCAATTATTCACTATATTATTTTGCAATTGTATGTGTATAATGTATCATATTAATGTATTATTGTATTACTGAATAGGGTGTAATGTCTTTGTATTACTGTATTACCAACTGACAAGGCTGCTTGTTGTACGGCCACTATGGTATCTTATTTTATTGTATGTGGACATCTTCTCTATCCTAGGTGATGATCACTGTTGTGGATTACTCGAAGGAAAATAAAATGAATGAATGAATAATTAAAAGACACCCTAAACTCTATTAAAACATCATGTTTAATAAACTTCCAGCATACTCATGATATTAGATCCATCACCAAACAACAAACACTATATCAGTACTACCAGAAGTGCAAAAGATTAGCATTGGTTACAGGTTAAATTTGTAACTGACTTCGGAAATATTACATCATCAGAACTTGACCACAAAATGTTAGAAAATAGTAGTGTAACTATATTACACCAGAAGATTCTGAATTTTTCAGCATGTATGCAAAGTTCTAATATGTTTTTTCTTATTGTTTCAGTTAGTCTATTTGTAAACTGTTATAAGAACTTTTAGAAGAAATATGGACCTAGACTTAAAAATTCTGAACATTATAAAGTTTAAAAACTGTTTCAGTTATACAGAAGTTCAGTCACCGCCTCTCTCTGTAGTAATTTATAATGTGAAATTTGAGGTTATCATGGAAGCAAAAATTAAATTACTGTCTTTCGGGATATGATGCTGTATTGTCTCGCAAAGAGGTATGTAATGATGGTAACTTTGTACCAGACTACATAGCATCATGTCTTAGAAGACAGAGATGCTGATCTTATTATATCATAATTTATGTAACCCAAAATTCATTAATGTGTTCAGAAGAGCCTGTCATTAAGCCTCTCCCATGCCAGATGAATCCAGTCCACATCCTCAAACTATATTTAAGATCCACTTTAATATTACATTCTCATCCATGCCTACAATTAATGAGTGATCTCTTCCTTTTAGGTGTCCCAACTAAAATTTGTTATGCATACGTTATATTTCCCATGCATGCTACATACCCCATCAATTTCATCCTCCTTGATTCATGATGCTAATACATGGTAAAGGTACAAGGTAAAGTTATCCGTTTGCTTGACTAATTAAGCACTACACCATGAAGGTGTATGGGGGAGTGGCTGTATAGATCCATATTCTGTTGACCTCTGCACTAGTAGGAAGTAAGTGGTCAGCTTCACACCCCGGCCGCTTTACCCCCGGGGAAAAGAGCCCCCAGTACCCATTGGATAGGAGTCTGGGTGGACCTCGGAGCCGGTCTGGATGATGTGGAGAAGAGAAAATTCTTGATCCTACCGGGACTCGAACTCCGACCCCTTGGTCGTCCAGCCCATAGCCAGTCGCTATACAACTGCACTATCTCGGCTAACACGTAGGAATTATGAATTTGTAATATTCTTTACAATCCTGCTCCGTTATTTCACATTACCTGTGACCTTACTAAACACCAGAATTCTGTCTTTCTGACTCCTCACATGAATGGGTAATTTCTAAATCATTCCACTGCCCAGTACACACAGTGGAGAATAAGCACACCTACTGGCCATTACCTTCTGTATCTTGAACTGGAGTTCTCGCATGTACGGCTTGAACTCATTTGCTACTTCATGGCCCTGGTGGTAGAAGGTAAGCCAACCATACATGAACCCCAGGAGCTGCAACAGAAACAAACAGTTTATTGCTCACGTGCTCTCCTGTAATACTCTTATGATACTTATCAATAAATGTTGTTTTAATTTCCATAGGATTAAACTATGCTCAGTTATCTTCAAAACAAATATGAATAAAAACAACAAACCACTACACTATGTTTCTGCCATAGCTCACTGTTCACAGTTGAAACTATAATAACATGTGATATGAAAGAATGTTCAAATTATGTGTTAAGGAAACCTGAAAATTTGGTCATTCTTGTCTTTGTTTAAAATTCTAAAGGAACAAATCTCAATAGCGATTTCAGAAAGCAGTACATTTATATTAAATATACAGCTATAATGTGATGGAGATTAAAGACGGATTCATAGGGACTATACAAACAGGAAAATATTTTCAATTACATATTTTAAATTAAATACATAGTATTTGAATTATCTCACATGACAATATAACAGGAGCAAACTACAGGGGAATGTGTTTATATTGAAATCTAAGGAAAGAGGAAGGGTTAAACACCAAATTAATTTTCATTCTCAAATATGGATTCTAATGAACACAACTGTCATTCCTTTGCACTGCACATAAAACACAAAACATTCTCCCTCTCCAAGCAGAATGGGGACTCAGGATGGGGGTTACATTTTAACATTCACAAATCCTACCTCATTATGCCATCCATCAGCTTCGCAAAAGAAACATGCAAGAAAACTATTTTCAGTTTGTAATAATATTTTCTGCAGTAGCAAGGTTATGTCTTGTAACAAAACAATAAAAAACAATTAACCAACCAACCAATGTGTTCTATATAAGAAATTTCTGTATGTTTAGTGAGGTTATGCAGCCACAAACAAGAGAAGTGACCAAACGGAAACAGAATCATATTGATGTGTTGTAACAAAACATGAGAAATATAAAGAAGAAATACATATTCCTTAGGATAATCCTTGTTGAGTTTAGAAATGAAGATTGAGAATCAGTTAAAATGCATGGCTATACACATTATAACTGCATGAAGATGAGTAATAAACACTAACATTTCATAGCTTTTAATATCAGAAATTATTTACTTTGAATTCTATGTTGCTCAAGAGGCAACAAAGTTTACCTACACTTATGAGGTTATGAACTTTATTTAATTTGCTTTGTTAGCATTATAACATCTTCCAGCCTGAAGTCAAAAACTGTTCAAAACATCTCCTGGAGATATCTTCATTGTCTGTTGTGCTTGCCCTTATAGATCTGATATGTTCATATTTCATAAATGTTGTATGCTGAGCAGGCTGGAGTAGTAGTATTACCCCAGACTTGTATTCAAGAAGTATTCGGCTCAAATATTAGCAAGCAAGATCACCAGTCATTCTGACGAAGTTTTGGGGGTGTTCATCACTCTCCATGTGAATAGATATGAAAGCCTGCAATCAAAATCCTCACCTACTTGTAATCCATCAATGCCTTCCCATCTCTTTTTGTGCTATTGAAGTTCTGTGGTTGTTGTACAACCTAAGAATCAACCAATTTCATAACCCAACTTAGCCACTAATGAAGTAAGTAAAAATATATAAAAATCAGAATGTTAGTTATGAGAGCAGTGATCAGGAACTGATTTATGTTAAAATATTTGGAATAAAATTTAATATCTGATAACAATTTGTGTATTCAGCAGTGTGGTGAAGCTGTAAAGAGTGTCATAATTGACACTATACTCCCATAACATGTAGAGAGTGAAAAATCTATCAAATCTTGGTTGAATGTAGTAAAACTTAAAAGCAACTTAATATTCGCTGTGCAAAGGGCATTTCTGCAGATTACAAACACTTACAGTTTCAACAAATTCAAATTTCTTCCTTTCTTGTACTTCCTGCAGAAGGAAGACATATTCAAGGCTGGCGCGGACAAAATGACGTTGCTCCATTACAAGTGCTGCATCAGCCTGTAAAACAATAACAAAATTTTATAATAATTAACTAGTGTGGTGGACCAGTATGAGTCATCATCATCAGTAATCTGTCAAGACGACAGGTCCATACTCTCTTCCAAAACAATTCCTCCATTTAATGCGATCTAGAGCTTTCTCCTTCAAATGACAGTATCCTCTTCTGTCCCCAAGGTCATCCAGCACCTTCTTACGTCTTCTTCCTCCTCTTCTTGTCACTTCTATCCGCCCCTCTATCTTTCCTTTGATAACTTCTTTTAGAAGGCAGTTTCTGCGTAAAACATGACCAATCTAATTAGGCTTCCGTTTTCTTATTTCGTGTAGGATATTCCTCTGCTCACTGACTCTTAATTAACACTTCTTCATTTCTCACATAATCGGTCCAACTGATCTTCTCCATCCTTCTCCAACACCACATTTCGAAACTTTCCAGATGTTTCTGATCTACTGCCCTAAGTGTCCATGTTTCAGCCCCATACAGAGCTATGCTCCAAATGTAGCATTTCACTAGTTTCTTCCTCAAATTTAAGTCCAATTTGCTGGTAAAAAGATTCTTCTTCTTGCTAAATGCAGCTTTTGCCATGG